GTCATCAACTGAGACTTCAAATGGGCCAAGGAGTTTGCCCTGCATTGCTGATTGGATGAGGTTGTCACTCGCAGGCAACAGGATGGCGAGATCATTTGTGCCGGCGGACTTGGCGATATCCTGGATGTGAGTCTTTGTGGCCAGAACAATGCCTCCTCTTGCTCCTCCAATTTGAAGTCGGTGGTTCTGTGGCAGCACACCTCCGTCTGAGCCAGTAAATGGGATAGGATCCTTGAGCATCAGATCTTCCCATTTGCATTGTGCAGGGCGAGGAAGCGACTTCAGCCAGGGATCGCTCTTGAGCCACGGGTCCTTCTCATGAGTCGATGGTGTGGCGTTTGTCTTGGTGGCTTCACTGGGTGCAACAGGTCCAGCTTGGTGCATATTGACATCCTCCTGTGACGAACCTCCCCCTGAAACAACGTCAGATGGAAATCTGTTCTCCGCGACACGGACAAGAAACCAGTGACGAATGTTGGAGGCGAACTCGATGAGGACAGGATTCGCTCCTGCGCCGTTCCACAGGGCCAGCGCTTCTTGTTGTGCCCGGTAGATGTCGGCCGCGAGCTGGTGAAAGCTCAGTTGTCTCCGTTGTGGAGGCTGCAAGGGCATAGAATTGGCTGCAAGCCGCATGTAGATGTTGGCGACCAATTGGTAACCACACATGCCTCTTGGGCTGATCTGGTCGTAGAAATGGATGGAAATCTGCGTGTCTCTTGCGCCAGTGGTTTGCAGCAAATGATCGACAAGTGGCTGGAGCCGGATGTGACTGTCCGCTGGGAACGTGAAGGCAAAGTTGGACGAATCCTCGTGCAAGTACGCTTCAGCTTGAACCCAGTGATGGTCGACCTCGATGATCCAAATGACTTGATTGTAAGCTCTGTAGTCCGGGGTGTAGTCATTGAGGAAATGAAGGTGAGAAGCCCCGACGCTCCAAGAGGATGGAGGGCAGAACAACGTCTGAGGATTCATCGCCCTGGGCCCCTCAAGGGCAAGGTCAAGCTCGTCAGAAGCGAGCCAATCCGGATGTAGCAGAATCTGATTGAGTCGGGCCTGAATTCGCTCGAGAATTGCTTGTGACCTGTCAAGCCATGGAAGCGGAGCAGCAACTGGAGGCGGTTGGAACGGAGGATTCTGGCCCTGGGGCTCAATCGGCGGACACGCCGTGTGTAGGGCAATCTGCTGATGTGGTCTTCCTTGCAATTCCCTTCGTGCCCGAAAGCATAAGAAATTCTTCCTCAACGTATAGGCCAGTTGACCAATCTCGACCGGGATCTGCGCTCGGCCCCAGTCTTCGCTAGAGCACTGCATGGCAAGTTGGATCAACTCGTTGTATTCCTGATTGAGTGTCATGTGGTTGGAAATGTCAGCAATTCCTTGATGAAGTCCATGCCTCCGATACCACCGAAACACTAGATTCCAGCCGCACACATGTGGTGGCGGGTCATTGTACTCACAAGCGACTTGAAATCTGTGCGGGGCAATGTCTAAAAGCCGGGCGACCAGGAAAGTCAGCGCTGTGTGAAGCTGTTGAGGGACCTGGACAAAGGTGACTCTAGTGTCCGCCCCTTGTCTGGTGATCTCAATTCCAGCCCAATGACTGCCGATGAGAACTGGAATGGCAGTGGTGGCATTGTTGACAATGTTGAGCTCACCAAAGATTGGTTCTTCAAAGTCACCATTGGCAGTATTCCACAACTGCGGAGTCCCAAACTTGAGCCAGTCTTGCTGCCATTGCAAGGCCTGCGTGTAATGGAACATTTCGTCAGTAGCAGCCCAACCATGTGTATCACAGAGGAATTCAACTCTGGCTGTGAAGTCGGAGAATGCCGGCAGCGAGGGAGGTGCAACGAGGTTGAGGTGGTGCCCCCCGGCCTTCGTGGTACTGGCAAAGCACAGATCGATGATGTCACCATCTCTGAAAGGACCAGCGATTTGATCACTTGGCACTGAGTGGCCATTGATATTGCTGATTGTCAAGATCTGATCAACATCTGTCAGTCGGAAATCCAAAGCTGTGCTGTCAATAGGAATCTTGAAGCCACCGATTGGGAGACCAAACCACCGCAAGATCACATCTGCATAGGGCGTCCGCTCACAGTCTTTGGCATCTGCAACCAGAAGATAGTAGCTCCCCTCGCCAGGAATGCCGGCAACGTACTTGTTTCTTCCATGCAACTCGGGTAAAGATGAAATCGTGTGCAGAATAGACCATGAACTCTCCTCAGTAAGGAATACAGTCAAACTGAGCTCCTCAGGGATGACAATGATGTTTGCAGCACATTTCTTCAAAGAAGACTCGTCTTGCAGTGTTTCGACGATCTTCTGAATCCTCCAGAAAATGCCAAATTTGCAGTGATGCTGAAGATCATGCCTGGAGAGTTGGAAGCATTCGCTGCTCTGTCCACGAACAGGCTGCTCATTGATGACCTTAGTTGTGACATGGTGTTTGCTTCGACTCAGTTCACATGTGCCAAGAGTGGCAAACCCTGCCACAAGGCGAAGGGAAGTTTCATGAGTGGCGATCTGTGCAATGGTCATGCGATCATGAATGTGACTGTCTTCATTGAGACCGCAGATCTGTTCGAGAATGGAACTTGGTCCACTCAAGTGTTCCAGGATGACTTGCCTCATGGTGTGGTCTGGGCAAGCATGGAAATTGAACTGACGGTCAATGCACTCACCTGAGATCATCCACGAGTGTGCTTCGGTGACTATCACTTCACGATGTGCAATCCATTTCCAAACCTCATGCTTGGGGATCAGATGCACAAAACCCTCATGCGCAAACAAAATGCTGTTGTAGGCTGTGAGCCTTTCAGACCATGCTTTCCGCACTAGGCCAATCGGGTCAATCTTGCTCTCACTGACCGCATGGATAGCAATGCATAATGTCAGGACACTGTGAGGAACGGTGATGGCGTTGCCAATGAACCGAAACGAATCGCATGCCTTTTCTGAAAGCACCACATGTTCGGTGGCACCGAAGAGAGAACAAAACATTGCTGGATCGAAGAAAGAGAACCCCGAGGCCTTCTCTTGGATGCAGGCAAATATCCCCTTCTGTGCCAAGTGGTGCTTGGCAAGCTCGTGCTGGCGTGTGTAAGAGGCGCAGAGCGTAGGCAGGATGTCGGATCCGCCTGGGATCCTGGACCGGATAATCTCCTTGTTCATAGTTGGGCACTTCTCGAACCTGGCACGTTTCGCCGGAGGCAGAAAGTCGATCGAGTCATAAATCGAACAGTCTGATGGCGAAAGATGAAGCTGGGAAATCCACATGCTTGGTAGCCGAAATTGATAGGCTTGATCTGTCCAATGGGATTTGGGGACCATCGGCAGCTTGAGATGAAAAGGAAAGGATTGGCCAGCAACATCGGCCCTGACCCAAACGCCAAGCCAGCGAGTTCGTGCATGCGAAACAAGTGGGTTATAAGGCGTGACCTGGTCCCACACAAGTCTAAATCCTAGAACATGTGCAAACGATTTGACAACTCGAAAGTGCGAATGTCCGACGATTTCGTCAGAGCATTCAGCAGCAATGACTGTGGCTTGAAGGGAAAACGAAAGTTCCAAAGCGTCCAGGAACGCTTTGCCGTTGTCATCATGTAAGCCGGCTTTCAGCCCGCCCTTGCTCCATGATTGGCAAGGAGGTGACATAGTCACCAGGTGGTTTGCCTGTGCACGACTGGCCTCAATAATGCTGCGGTCGCTGACCTCTCCACACAATCCAACACATTTGCTCGGAGACCAGGAATCTCCAGTCTTCAAAGGCAGTGATCTAGCTTTGGCGGTGTGTTTGATTTGCCAAATCGCCATAACCTCAGGGTCATGATCAACGAAGATCTCTTGTCCTATGCAAAGGGCCTTGGCTGCTGTGTCCAACCATTGGAGTCCTTGGTGCCATCCACAGAAGGCCCCACTGAAAAGGTGGGTCACATCCCAAGGCAGCAACACCTCCAGTTCGGGGCGGAAGCCCAAACACGCGTTCACGAGCTTGACCGTGTCGGACTCGGACCCAACGCGATCCCCGGAACAAATCACTTCGACCCCAGAAGCAAGTCGTAGGCATCTGTTGCAAACATCGTCAAAGGAAACCGTGATCTTCGAAAAATCCGTCGGTTCCGTGAACCCAGAGGAGGGCACGAACCAAAAGGCACGAAGATCGATCCAGTCATCGCCATAGGACAGAACTTCGCCAGCAACCCAAGTCCTCTGCCCCACCGTAGGCGTGAAGCCGGGACCCAAGCCCGAGAACAGAGCTCGGATTCTGCCATCATGGAAGGTCTGGAGGAGGTCAACCAGGTCGGCGTCCAGCTCAGCCATGGCTCAAGACCTCTATCGAAGCAGGAGGTACTCAGCGGCACGGAAAGCGGCTGGCCTTTGGAGGTCAAAGGCCTAATGGACACCACCCCCCTTCTTCGCAGAAGGGCAGGTGGCCACAGGCGGCCGGACGCCTAAGCCTTCGGGCTTTGGGCCCAGTGGCTGCCTTACTAGTAGTAACAAGAAGCTAGTAGAAACAAGTGCATCGCTTCTAGTAACAAGTGCCTTACTAGTAGTAACAAGTTACTCAGAACATTTGGGAGGTTGAACTGGTGGGATTCATTTTGCCGATCTTGGTGATATGCCCCCACGTCACATCAGTTGCAGCTGATTCACAGCTTCAGCTTCAGCTGATACAGTACATGTTCGTTCATTCCCTCAGTCCTTGAAGAAGGTCGTCCTTGTGAAAAATGGGGTTCTGGGACTGATCATGAATCATGAGTCTTCAACGCCTTTCCAAAAGATATGGAATGTTCATGGTTTTGCTTTGAGCATATCATGGCATGTCCTACCATCTCGAAGATACGGATGGATGGATGAATGGATGGATGGATAGATGGATTAAACGGATGGATATGGATGGATATTGGTTATAGACGGCTTTTCATTGCCCTGCCGGACGCTCTCTCTCTCTCTCTCTCAAACGCACGCGCGCGCGCCCTTGGCACTGCGCTGAACAGGAGTTGACTGCGAAGTGCCTGGGCCCGGGCGGCGTCTTTGGGCCGAAGTGCCTTGGGTCGAAGGGCCGATTGGGGGCGACGCTTTGAGTTGGAGACGCCAGGTGGGTCTCGGTCTGCTTTTTTCTTGGCATCAAAGTCGGTTTGTTGGATGTTGTCACTCAATGACAACATCCAGGAAACAGTTCGCCATTGATCACAACTCGTCGCACTGACGCCTTCAGTATACTGAAGATGTTGTATGACAAAGTGTCTGGAGAGAGCAAGAAGTTCATGGCTCTTGCAGAATTGCATCCAATCCTAGCTTATAAGATTCAAACGCAACGAAGGGGCAAGTGCGAAGTCGGAATTTCATGGAGTTTCTTTTTGATTCATATACAATATATATTATATACATATATACAATTTCAGATGCAGAAGCAGCTGTTTCCTCCCAATACCTATCGGGGACCTCCCCCGCGTTCCAACACGATTGACCGGGCCCCGCCCCGCCCTCCACGGTCCTCGACCACGCTCCTCCCGGCGGCCCGGCGAGGTCCGAAGTTCACTCCATCTATGGCCCTTTGGCTGCACTCCGTGGCCCAGAAGGGGCCCTGGGCTGCCAGATGCCCCCCCCCACCTTGGGGCCAGCGGGCGAGAAGCGTGATGGAGCGAGCGAAAGGGAGGAAGGAACATGGAAGAAACGGTGGTTTTGAAGCATCAAGCACCAGTTGTCACTTGAAGGTGTCTAGTTGTTTGTGTTTTCATGTTGTTACATGTTGTTACAATCAATTGTGCTTAAGAGTCTGTAGATCGTGTCAATAGTGCCCTCTCGCGGCAGAGTGTCGTTGCTAAAGGGGCCGGCTTGTCTCCAGCTGCCCAGTGGTACAGACTTGAAACACTCCGCTCCAGGGATGGCGTGTTTCCCCCTTGGTGTTTGTGCGTGTGCTGATTCTTTGTGAACCCTGAAAGTCGAGTACACTATACGAAACAAGTCGACTTTTTCTCTCATTCAAGTCGACTTTTTCTTTCATTCTTACAAGAGTCTTTCATCCAAGCCAGCAGCTGCAAGTCGCAAGTTTATTTGGATGTTCATAGTGAACACTTGTGTTTGCCCGTTAACACCACTCCAGTTTCTATTTAGGTGTTCCTTTTGGCACCTGAGGTGGACGCTTTTGCTACGTTTGCGCTCATAATCACCAAGTCTATCCTCAGATTGTGATGTTCGTGAGCTGAGCAGCCTTACTTCACCACAAATCTCAACACAGCCAAGTAAGTGGCCTGATCTGTCTGAGGGAGATGGATGGCTTGAGTTGATGAATTATAAATACATATCTCCAGCTCGAACAGCTTTCAGAGGATGTATTTGTTGGAGGATGGCTATATGGCAGATTGTGAAGTGATTGACAAGTGGGCCGTGTGATGCCGGGTTTACTTCATCGGCCTTTGATTTGGCTCTTGTGATCCAATTGTGTTTTGGTGCTGCCAGACAGACTTTGACATGTTCGACGTGATAAGAGAACTACACAAGTGCACCCTGTCAAAACATGTCAAAATGCTGTAGAAATCTGTAGAAGGTCAAGTCAGCACAAGCCTTTCGGCTTGGGGAAAAAACATGTGAGCACGGATCACCCTTTTTGAGCCAAAGTGCCCCCATCGTCCGAACATCCTGGGGACGATGGCAAACCCTGCCGTGCTGCTTCAGCAGCTCTTCAGCGCAGCTGTTTTCGCCGCAGACATGTCTGCAGCATCAAGGTCTATAATGGTCTATAGGTATTCGAGTTCTTCAACACAACCGATAAACAGAGTTTGGTTGTTGGATCAGAGTTCTGCATTGACACGGAGATGTTACCTACGAATGCGGTACTTGTTGAAATTTCAGTGATCTCAGTTACGTTGAATGTCCTGGAGAATTCCCAGCTGGAAGAGAGACAAAGAGTTCCGGATCCTTTCTGTAAACAGCTACAGTAATACTGCATGCTACTGCTCAAGATGATTGGGCTTGTCCCAACACACGCCACTGGCAGGAAGCCTATAAGCACACCCTCCACACTTCGCTAGTCCCACACCCGTCGGAGTTTTTCTGTTTACTCTTCCGACTCCAGACTTCCATCCCGATCCCCCCAATTTGTAGGATGGCGGAGTTGGTGTTGGAACCAAGAAACTTACACTCCCTGAAATCATTATGATTGGTAACGTGAATGGCATGGCCCCGAAGACTTGGATGACCATGGGGTTTCCGGTTCTACCCAAACGTCTTGTGAACTCTACCTCAATGAGTCATTTCAGGGGAGAATATTGAACTTGATTGACAGTTTCTGGGAGTTTTCAAGTGGTGTGGTGTGGATGTTCTGGGTTTCCCCACTTTCCCCACCGGCCCTTATAGGGGCCGAGCCGGGACTCGGTTCCAGACACGTACAGATGATCGCAGACATGGCACCGCTGCGTCTTCTCGCCCACCGTGCATGATCCCTCGGTGTACAGAACTCCCGATGGTTCGCACCAAAAACGAGACAACGAGCCGAGCCGCGAACCGGCACGTCGAACGCGAACGCGAACACGTGCTTAAGCCGCCCAGACGGTCGGGTTGCGGACTGACTCGTTCACAGCACGGGTCCCTCCAGGGATTGGATGGGATTGGTGAGAAACCCCCAGAACCCTTCAGAGTGTTTGGTCCAGTCCCTCAGTGTTTGGTCGGAGCGTTTGGGATGTTTTGGTGAACACGTCCTTTGAGCGTTTGGCCTGGCGCGTTTCGTGTCGTTTGCCAGGCGCGACGTGTCGGGGAGCTAAGGCGGACCCCTTCAAAGGTCTGATGTGGCAGCGGTCGTTCAACCACGCTCCCAGGTAGGTCAACCGGTCGGTCTGGTGCCATGACCCACGGCCAAATGAAGCGCTGTATTGCCAAAGACTCCATGTATGGCATACACCTACAGTATATTCCGATTTCCATAGAGTTTGCACGAGTTGGCCTGACTGGAATTCTTTGGGTTTATGCAAGTTGATGCTGTTCCTAAAAACATCATCAAGTTGAGGTGATTGTTTGGGCATCAGGTTTGTACTGAACACATGGAAGAACAGACCCCACAAGGAAAATCCCAGATGCTTTACACATGTTCCAAAGCAGTTCTACAGGAATGAATTCAGGTGGATTGCCGAACTGCAAGCTTCGCAGATCGCTGAACTTGGTGATCATGAAACCGGTGGCCACCCTGCGGCAAAGATCGGCAAAGTCGAACTTCCAAAAACCAGTTGATTCAGAGCTGAGAGATTGGTGAAAATACATGAACATACGTCGTGAGGGGTGTCAAAAAAACAAAAAACACTATAATTGCTCGAACTCCTTGGCACTGGAAGATGTAACTATACAGTGATTTCAGAGTAGATGGCACAAACCCCTACATTGTCTCTTAGATGGGGGTCCATATAAACCACCTAACTTAGGGTAACTTGTGCCATCTACTCTGAATTAACCTCTACTGATAGTATAATAATTAACTATTCATGCCCTACAAGTGAAAGTTCTATAACTTTTCTCATGCCCTACTGGAGTTGGTCATACAATAAACACTACTCAAGGAGGTGAGAACGCGACCAGGTCTGTGGTCAGACGGGGCTTAGGGATGGGGCAGAGCTTAGGCCATCCTCTCGCGCCTCACGGCATCACAACCGACGCGACCCGCACAGGCGCCGGGGGGAGTGGGACGTGCCCCGCGTGTTTTTTCACGCGGGAGCGACCGGGAGCCACGTGGATCGACACGTGGTTCCGAGAGCCGAAATGTCGTTTTAAGGCGACTCATGATCTTGTTGGCTTTTTCTTACCCAGCAAAGTGGCAGTTTCGTTGGGGGAATTGAGTTTCGAAGGTGTTTTTCTTTTTTGGGGGGGCGCAAGTCATCCTCCAACACCCTGAGAGCTGGAGTCTCACAAGCTGGAGTCGGCTTCCATGAACCACCTGGATTTTTGTTTTTGTATGTGTTTGTCTCTCTCTCTCTCTCTCGTGAACCTGCTCATCGATTCATCTCTCTTCTCGCTTTTGGAACTTGCGGTGCTACGCCAGAGCGGTCAGTGCCCAGTGCCCCACGGTCCAGCTGGTTCTCTCGAACTGTGGTGACTGGAAGTACCACATTGTTGAGTTGGACGATTGCTCGTTTTTTTCCGTGCATACTGGGCCTGGTTAGACCCTTGGTTCAACGAGCATGCATGGCACCTACGCAACCATGGTATTTTGGTCAACTAGCTTACCGGCCTCATGCACGATTGCTCTTAGTTGTGCTCTTACTGTATACGGAATCCGGATCGTTGGGGGATTACATCAATATATTTGTATATCATCGTTTTGATGGTACAGTACGTTACCAATCGTTGAGGTCCCTCAGTACATCGTTTTGATGGTACATCGGAATGAATATACCGGATCGTTGGGGATGTTGCTTACCGTTTTTGATTCGTTCTTGGGATGAGCAGATGGGCCTCAAGTCCCCAATCATTCAGGAGTTGTCCGTGCAGGAGCAAGCGTCTTTGTGCCAGATGGTAGGATCAATCCATTTTGAGAGCAGTAACCGCACAAAAGCACAGAGCACAGCACACCATCCTTGCAAGCACGTTCTTTCAGGATATGTTCCCTAGGGCTCCAACTACTCCCGCAGAAGCCTATAGCATTTTTTGGCCATTCTTCTCAGGAGGTGATAAGAGCCTTATCCAGGGTTAGTTCTTATGAGTTGATTCAACGACTTGACAATTTGCGCCCTCTTTCAGATCTTTGCAGTGCATTGTTTCAATCTGCTGCCGCAGCCCTTGGCCCGTTGCACCCATCCTGGCCCGTCCACCTTCCCGTGCCGCTTCCCGCCATGGTGGAGGAGGCCGGCTTCGGGCGGGCTGAGATGAATAGCGAGAAGTTGGCTGGAACGGTGAAGGGCTTTCAGTGCCTAGGCCTCCTGGAGGGGTTTTCTCGCTGTGAGGCCACCTTTTTGGGGTGTCACCCCTTGGTAGGATTCGTGTTATGCAATTTGAATTGCCTGCAGTCTATAAGTAATTATCTATCATGAGGGGCACAAAAGGGTTGACATGAGTGCATTGACCCACGAAGAACCGATTCATATTACGATATATTATATGCTGGATTCTTGAAACGTCACGTAGTCACACAAAGAATTGCTTTTTCAGAAAAAACACCTTTACGATCCTTTACGGAGCTTTTTTCCAAAAGGCGGTGTGTTTGCTGTGACAAGGCGGACATCATGTTGTGTTGGCGAGGTGAGACCAAAAGCAAGGGGGTGTCTTGCTGGGTTTCTTGGTGGTCCTGTGCATGTTCTCCGTCCAGATGTTGACGGGTTTTGTTTGCATCCCATGGACGGCGTTTGTTCCTTTTTGTTTCACGGCGTCTTTTCACTGAGTCATGCCTCCACCAAAGGAGGCCGTCTGAAGGCCGTCTTTTAAGCGCCAGGTGTTGATTAGCATCCCCCGGGAAACATTTTACGGGAGGGCAACAAAACCAAACATGCGAATCATGCTGCTTGGAATAATTCAAGTCTGTCCACGGGTTCTCGTGTATTAACAAGGAACGGTTGTAGTGTGCAGTTGTTGAACACCTGCATACTTGAACACAAAGTACCTCGGAAAATGGGTGCAAGTACTTGTTTTTGATAGGCTCATATCGCATGTCCCAGTTTCTACGGCCCCAACGACGTCGGGTGACCCGGCCGTCGTGGTGGTCACATGGCACCTGTCCCGACCCCCGAAGCGGCTAGCGCCATCCTCGATGGACCTTCCACCGAATGGGTGACCTCTCTGAGGCGACATATTTTTCTCACCTGGGGCTTAGCAACTGAATGGCCTGAAGATCCCTTCGAGAAGCAGTACAAGGGGATGCTGGTTTCGAAGTGACGGCGCGCAGGGCGAAGGCTTGCTGGGCGGTTTTTTGTGGACAGAGAATTCTGAGAAAATCACAGGGGGTCATTGATGCATTTGTCAAAAAAAGCCAGAAACTAAATAGCATAATAAATAGCCAGTGGCAATAACCAAGTGCCGGTGGGGTAAACCAATGATGGGCTGCATTTGGTTGTCTGGAGATGTTGGCAGGGAGCCGCGGGTGGACAAACAGCTGTTGTTACTCCACCCTGCCGGGCGCTGTTTGGAGCCACCCCAATATTCCGGATAGACGGCTGGTAACATTGGTGCTTGGCACATGGCCGAAAGTTTACCTGTGTGCGGCTGGTGTAGACAGTCGCGGCCTTGCACATAGAATCGGCCAAGATGTCAAAAGGGTGGGGGAGATCTGGGAATAAAAGATGTGCAGATTGAATAAACGCATGCAGAATGAATGGACATTGAGCACTCCATTACTGTATCGGGATTAAATAGATAGTGGATCACTATGAAGCCCGCCAGGTGAAATCTTGAAATTTATTGAATATCTAGCCACAAGTTGTTCACACCCACCCCAAGGTGTGTCCCATTACCATCTAAAAGGCGGTAAAGTATATCACTATTTTGAGAAAGGCATGTTGTAATCATCATCAGCTGCAAGGTGATCAGTTAATTACAAACTCTGAATAATGAAACACATTGGGGACAGGCAAAGAGAATAGATATATCCAGTTTCCAGTCGGCTTGTATTCCAGGGTAGACTTGAAGTCACCACAATCACTCCTTCTCAGAAACGTAGCTGCAAATTGGTTTCCGAGGCTGCCATTTGCATGAGCACGAGCTTGTGTAGTATAATCATCACAAATGATGATTTGCTCCTAGTGGATGAGACAAACGCAGACAACCTCACAGATCATGAAATCATGTTTCGCCTACTCACCTCGTAGATTTGGCCTATTTGCTCAGAAACACACGGTCGTATGCATGTCTCCCATCCGAACCGAGGACACTTCCGGTGGCTTTGGATGAAGCGGTTGAAAAGGTTAAGAAGGAGTGTGAGCAGTGGTGAGGGGCGTTGACACCTCGGTTGACAAAGACAGGATCAAATGGTCTTGGGTGTTTGGAGTGACATGTAGCGGCATGGAGTGACTGCAGAAGGCACTTTGAGCAGCTCATGGCCATCACCACCCGCGATTTGTATGCAAACTAGCAGGCAACATGGACCCCCAAAACCAATGGTATTCGCCCTTTCGCTGTGGATCAGCAAATACAAAGCCTCTTGGAGACCTTTGTATAGGCCCTTCAGGTCTTCCGGTCTTCCTGGGTCATCTCAACCTGAGAATTGGCCCGAGGTACCCCCAAAAACCGCGCGCTTTTTTTCCTACACCATCGCACGGTGGTGTCCAACACCCAAACTGGGTCCAACACCGACACTCGGTGGTCGCCAGGAGATCAAAGGCAAGGTGCGGATCACCTTGGTGGAGCGGTCCGAAGGTGCCCAGGACGGAGTCGTCGAGGGTTTTGTCGATGGGTCGAGCGACCTGCCTGGCCTTCGAAGACAGGTGCGAAAAGGGTCTGACCTGGGTTTGAAATGCTTGAAATAGTGAATAGTAAACTCTTGAGTCAGTAAATGCAATGAATGGTGGGTAAGAACCTTATATTGTGTATGAATGGTTGGAATCATAATCCTGTAGGCCCATAGTTAGGGGATATTAGGGGTATTTCCATGTATTTGAATGTATTTCACCTCCTGTTTGACTCCAGGACAGCGACTAGACCTGGTGAATCACTTGCCTGAATTCCAGGTGGCGAGTGGCGAGTCACTAAATCACACGCTTAATAGCGCTTATAATTATGATTTCATGACTAGCTGCTGGGTGTCTCACTCAACTAGAAGCAGCGAATGACCTGCTGGCGGCTACATGGTTCTTTCAGCTCTTGCACAACCCAATCCCCCCAAAAAAGAACTGCCAGCCTCCGCGGGCCGCATTTGATTCCTTGTTGTGGTCCCGAAGCAGAGATAGAAACGCTTTCCAAAATACATTCTTTGTGGAGATCGATACTTCTTCAACCAATTTGGGGGATCCAAAACAGGACACCATCCCCCAAAACAACACCCACCCACACTCTGACACTGGTATTCAGTTAACTCAGTTACCACGATGGGAA